GGCTTAGGGCAGGCTCTGTGAAGAGCAGGGTTGGAGAGGAAGAGGAAGCTCCAGAGGTGGATGGACTGGCGGGAGGCTCTACCAGACAATCATCTCTCTGTAAGTGGTGTTGAATGCCTCCGGGCTCCCAGACTCACCCACGTAGCCCGGGGTCCCACAGGCTGTGGACATGACTCCGTTCTGCTCCATCTTAGACAGACCAAAGTCAGTGATCATGATCTTGGAGTTCTCCTCAGGGGTGAGGTACAACAGGTTTTCCGGCTGTAGGAGGAGACACAGCATCGGGTGGAGTCCAGGATGGAGCCGCCTGAACACAGTGCACCATCCTTCAAGACCCAGAATTTCATAAGAAACTGAGCCCTGGGCTCCTGACTCAGAGGCCACACCCCTTCTCTCCTCTTCCCTCCTTCCTCCTATCCGTGCCTGTACCACTGCACCCTAGAACTCTGTGTCTTGCTTATGGTCCTGGCTTTGCTCAGCCTTGTGACCCCTCCCATGCTCATTTCCCCCAGCCTGCTTTTGGAGGGAGCCAACTCTTGGCTCATTGTCTCTAATCTCTTAAAGCTAACGAGGTGTCTGCTGCTGTGCAGACCCTTGGTAAGTGTTTTGCTTATTTTAACTATGGCTGTGGGTTATTTTAATATCTAATGGGGTAAGCATTTCAAAAGGTTCAGAAAAGGCTAAGGGGCAGATGACCAGCAATATTCTAGCCTTGGCTGGCTTGCCTAAGGAATCCAAGGACAGAAGAGGCCTTGGGAATCCAACCAGGCCAACCTTCTCATCCGAGAGAGCTCCACTCCTCAGGCCCCACACAACTCCCTGAAGGTCACCACTGCCTCCTGCTACCGCCCGTCACCTTTAGGTCTCTGTGGACGATGCCGTTCTCATGGAGGTATTTCACTGCAGACAAGACCTGCTGGATCACCACACTGGCATCCTTCTCTGTGTAGACACCACGCTCTAGGATCCGGTCAAAGAGCTCCCCACCAGAAACACTGTAGATACAGGAATGGATCAGGAATCTACTTTTTAAAAAATATTTTATTTAGTATTTTTATGTGTACGCGTGTATTGCTTTCATGTAGGTAAGTGCACCCGTGTCGGGCAGTGTCCACGGAAGACAGGAGAGGCTGTCAGATCCCCTGGAACCAGAGTCAGAGACAGTTGTTAGCTGCCATGTGGGTGCTGAGATTTGAACCCAGGTCTT